TTGTTGTTTTTCTTTATTTAATGCTTTGTGAGCTTGTTTGTACATCTGTGTTCATAAAAAGAGTACTGGGCTAATGCCATATATGGGCAATGATCAGAAAACATGAACTTTCCAGGATGAATTGGACAGTGTTATTTTATTATATTCATTATTATCTCTTCTTAAAGTGTTTGATAGAATTTATCAGTAGAATTGACCTGTTTTTCCTTGTGAGAATGTTTTGGATAATCAATTCGGTTTCCTGGCTTTGGTCATTCAGAGTTTTGCGTTTCTTCTTGAGACGGTTTTGGTCATCTTGGTCTTCGTAGGCATTGTTTCATTACATCTCAGCTGAGTAGTGTAGGCGCATCTACCCAACTTTCCTACGCGTCTCCTTAGCTCTGTAGGGCTAGTTAAGATGTTTCTGCCTTCACTCTTGGTTTTAGTAACTTCTTTCCTTCTTTTCATGATTACTGTACTAAGTTTTTTTAGTGTTTTCTTGGGGGGGCCTCATAGACGTGGTCTATCTCTGTTTTGTTTCCTAGCTCGTTGTTTCTTCTCCTAATCTTTATGTCACCCCTTCGCTGTGCTTCTTTTAATCTACTTAGCACGGTTTGTATGTATTTAGGTATTTCAGAGTCGAATAGGGAACTTTCATTGTAGGGGAGCCTCCTACCTCTAAGCTATATCCCCTAGCCTTCTTTCATTTTGCCTTTTATTTTGAGACAGGGGTCACTAAGTTGCCGAGGCAGGCGTTAAACCTGTGGCCCCCCTGCTTCAGCCTTCACATAAATTATAGTCTCACCTCCACACAATGAAATAAATAGCTGTATGCAAGTTTTAAAAAATTATTTTTTAATGAAGAACATCTTCTCCACGTAATGTGCCCATTGACTGGCTTCAGAGCTGAGTCTTGGCTTGTTGTGTTTTAATTTTCTTTTGGACAGAGGACTTGGTGAACGACAACCTCAGTGCTGGGAATACTGCCTCTGCATTGGGGTGTGTGTGTGTGTGTGTGTGTGTGTGTGTGTGTGTGTGTGTGTGTTGGGATGGCACAAGTTGAGGCCAGATGCTAGTCTCCAGTGTTTTTCTCAGGTTCTCTTCACCTTGTGTTTTGAGACAGGGTGTCTCATTGGCCTAGAGCTTGCCAAGTAGTTTAGGCTGACTGGCCAGTGAGCCTTAGCAGTCCTCCTGTCTCTGCCTCCCAAGGACTGGGATCATAAATACACATCATTGCACTTAGCTTTTTAACATGGATTTGGGGGATTATACACAGGTCCTCATACCGGCATGGCAAGCCCTTTCCAGCCGAGCCATCTCCCAGGTGCCTGTATGCTCTTTTTAAATAGCTCTTCCATCTCTTAAAACTCACAGTCAGGATATGATCGCAGGAGTAGGACTCCCGACTCTACATCAGCCAGCAAGCATTTATTGAACTTCAAGTATCGATACTGAGGAGCCAAAAGTAACTAGGATCGCTGTTCATGGAAAAGACAACAGAGAAGCCAGCAATGCAGTGTGCAGCCTTGAGCACGTAAGAATGGATGGCACGGATCTGAGACAAAAACAGCAAAGATAGCCCCACACTATTTCCACGAGTTACCTCCTGGCTACAGACACAATTTTAAGTGGCTCTACTCTAAATTATGTTAAGTTTAATGATTACTGTATTTTTATCTGGCCTGTGTTGATTTTATAACCCCAAGCTGTGATCGACAGAAGAAATCAATATCAGAGTCATTGCAGGCAATTACTGTATTACGGTCTCTACAGTGGGCGGGTCTGCAAGTTAGAAAGGTTAAGGGAGAGATAGCGCCTCTTCTTTTTCTCTCTTAAATTGAATTTTGTCCTTAAAATTTCCATAATAATTCAGTGTTTCATCAAGTGAGACTGTATAGGTGTGTATACAGAGAATTTAGAAATAAATAAGTATGTGTGAATATTTTTTGATAAAGTGTACTGTCAAAAAAGTATAAATCCCTATTCTATCACCAGCTTGCTGTAGGAACATGTAAGAAAGACTCTAGGCTTTGGTTCCTCCACCCGTAAAAAGAAACGACTATCAAATAAGCATCATTGAGATACTGTCTAGCTCTGGGATTGTAGAAATACTTTTCATTTTGCCTTTCCTGTATTATTCTGGCATGGTCCAAGTGAGAGAGCATACTTTTTGGTTATTTGTTGAGACTCTGTAGCCTTCACTGTCTCAGAGCACACTATGTAGACCAGGCTAACCTCATACCTGTGGTAACCCACCTGTCTCTGCCTCCCAACTGCTAAGAGTACAGGTGTGTGCCAGCATTCTGTGTGCGAAGGCTGCACCTGTAGCCTTTCAATATTTTAATTAGATGCATGTGTTAGCCTGTTTCTGGTTCCTAGAATATTTCCAGAGACTGATTTCTGGTCTTTCACTCCATCCCTTCTCCTTGGTACCACTAGCCGTAGATGTGAGAGTATACATGCCAAGAGATTTGTTTAAAACCTACTGAATGTAGACTTTTTAACACAGCATTTCACATAATAATAGCCATGTGCAAAAAGATAAACCTGGACATAGCCACAGACAGATGCATGGGCACACGTTTAATGTGGTTGATTTGATTGATTAAATACAGGAACCCAGAAAGTTCCACAGTCTGAGTTAGTACATAAAGAACCATCAGCACAACTTTAATAGGCCAAATACCCGCACAGCTCTCTATATGTCAGCTTCACTGTCTGCTCAGAAACTGAGCGATTATACAAGGATTATTACCAAAATGTAGATACAGCTAACATCCCAAGAAATCAACAAACCCGTATTTAGGCTTTTAGGGTCAATAAACTTAAGGTCTACATACTTTGCTGAACTCTCCTACAGTCACTTTCCAGGTTAAGATCTGATAGTATAAAACGCTAGACTTTGGTTTTGTGGACCTCAACAAAATAGACTGCCATTCTTTTCAAATAACCGCACTGATTATTACATGGCTCTTCAAAACGTTGTGTTCCTAATTCAGTTTTGTTTTCTAGCTTCAGGAGATAATTGGGAAGCTGGCCATTGTTGCATGGTCCTGTAATCTCAGTATTTGGGAGCAAGAATTAGGAGGACCACCATGAGCCTAGGCTAGCCTGAGCTTTATAGCTCTTAGCCAGTTAGTCGGTAAATAACTTGGCATTACTAAGTCATCTATTCAAATGGTTATTTAGCATCTACTTCACACACAATACCTTATTTGGTTGTGGTAGCACATGCCTTTATGACAGCACTCAGGATGCAGAGGCAGGTGGATCTCTGTGAGTTCGAGGCTAGCCTAGTGTACATAGTGAGTTCCAGGACAGCCAAGGATACATAGTGAGACCTTGTCTTATATTTTTAAAAAAAAGAAAGAAAGAAACAATAACTTGAATAAGCTTTAGAAAGGAAAGAAATATAGTAATCTTGTATTTCCTATATAATGTTATATAATAAATAGCAACATAGGACTTTTTATAAAATATTTTTCAAGAAAAAAAATATTAAATGGAAACTAATGCTTTTGCCACAATTCTGTAGCATCTAATTTAAGTATTAAACCTCAGCTGTTATTATTTACCTGTGAGAATAAGATAATCCTAGTTGGGGTATGTCCCATGTAATAAGTTCATTATTTGTTGCAAACAAAAACAAAAAAGGTATCATAACTTCTGTTGCAAATAAACATTGAAAAATGAGCTTGCAAAAATTTGATTATAAAAACAAGAATGAAAAAAATAGGGTAAAAATAGAAGCAGCATGAGAAAAATTCCACTGTTCTCAAAGTAAGGAAGGCAGCAGTCCATCCGCCCCCCTGGCTTACTTTGTAGAGTGATGGAGTGAAGGGGTACAGGCAAATACCACTTTAAACTTAGCCCCGCGTAAGCACAGGCTGTACTTTATGGCCTGGGGTATAAAATGCAGTCCTTTCACTGGAACAAGCCAGCCAGGGACAGATTTCACTCTGGCTTCCAATTGGTAAACAACCCACAAGCTCAACTTCAAGGCTCTAACCTTTAGCTTTAGAACTGTTCCACAGAAATGAGCTGGCTATCACCTCGGGTAGCAGGGGAGGGGAGGAGGGTGTGCCACGTCCATGTGATCACACCAGATCGATGGCAGTGGCCTACCCTGTACACACAGTTAACAGACCACACACACACACACACACACATACTGCTTCAGGTTTGTGCTCAAGTCTACTCAGAAACTGGGCCCCTGCGTGTTCTGCTTTTTACATAGGCTATTCTCTTTGCTTTTCCAAATGTTAAAAAGATGATTCAGGCCTTGTGTGTGTGCCTGCGCAAGTCTATGTGTGCCATGCGCACACAGGTGCCCTCAGAGGCCAGAGGGCATCGGACCTCCTGACCTAGAGCTGCAGGTGCTGATGTGTCCCCTTGCACACGCTTGCCTCAGTGTGTGCTCAAATAGAGCTGGTCCCCTGTGTCACTTGACACCAAGTGTCCATGTCACAAAAACATGTTTGATGAGTTCAGGGCTTCTTCAGCTGCTGGAATCTGCCTGCGGTAAGCATGGAAAGCTCTCACAGTGAGAGCCTCAGGGTCTGCAGCAGAGAGGCCCAGGATCCCCGTGTGGAGAATTATCCATTTCCCATTCTATGCTAAGAGGACTTGAGGACAAAATGCATCAGAACCATTCATATGCTTGTGTACATGCTCGATGTCTGGGGTGTGATTCCCAACACTGCAAAATGGAAGAAAGAGGCACATTCATGTAGATTGCCTACATTTCAAACAGTAACTTAACCACAAAGGCTATTGGAAAATATCAACATCTCTCTTTTTTTCCTTGAAACTTTACAGAGGAAAAAAGCCACAAAATCACTATTACTGTTTTTTTTTCCCCTTAGTATCTGTAAACTTTCTAAGTCCAATTCATTTCTGAGGGGAAAAGATAACAACGCCAGAGACCTATGTTATGACCCCAGCCCCTGCCTGCTCTGTCAACCCTTGGAATGTCTTCAGTGCGCTTTGTGTTCTGTCTAATGTTAGGAATCTTATTTCAGACTTGCAGATTCCAGTCTGCTACTAGAGGATTATTCGTCCAAGTTGAGCCCTCAAACAAAGAGAGCCAAGCGGAGCCTTCTGGAGGAGATGGGAAGCCTGCCGGGCGACTACATGGTGCCTATTTACTCTGGACGGTGTGTGTGCTTTCTCTTCCTGTGTGCAGTTATTGTAAGTGAGGAGTCAGTAGCAGCTAATGTTTGTTGAGGACTCACTGTGTATTGGGTTAAGGAGCTTGGAACCTACACGGAGAAAGATGGGCTTGTGGGAATCAAGGGATTTCATTTTCAGCTGTTTGTGTCCTACATGGAATACATGACGAAAGAGAATAACTCGGACACAATGCCGTTTTTCTGGCCTGTTGACATGGGAAATAAAGCTTTAGATGTGAAGGGTTAAATACTGTTTATAGTCAGTACATATAAAGTTAAAGATGTAAAGGGTATAAAGTGCAAAGTAAACAGGAAGGACAGAGGGAGGAGGACAGGAAAGGGCACTAGAGGTATGAATAAGATCAATCTTTGTATGCCTAGAGTGTCAACAACAAAGCTTGTTACCTTGCAGAATTAGTATATACTGATAATTATTTTTAAAAATTATGTATGTTTAAAGACCCAACTATAAAATGCTGGGGGACTAAAGAAACCCGCTCTGCACCGGAGTCTTGTGTGGCATTAGGACATATTCATACACACAGCAGCTCTGGGCTGTGCACAATTCAGAGCCCACAGTCGCGAATCAGGTCTTGGGCTGTTCATCTCTGTTTCATTGTACAATGTCATCTCTTCTGGAGAAAAAATCCTAACTTCATCTTTTGTTGACCAGTGAGACTCCTTGGGTGGATTTCTTTAAGCCTTGTTACCATATGTGTAAAATAGGGGTGACAGGTTACCTTTGGGGTTTTATTTGGATGGGATGAAATACACTATGGCAAAAACACCAGACCCATGATAGGAATCATTGCTCTCGTCATTCTTAATGTTAGAGGAAGACATTTTCTTCTGTAACAAAAGTTAGACTTTGTTATAGAAAAGTCTATATTGTTGTCTGTGTATGATCATTTTGCTTGTGTGTATGTGTGTGTGTGTGTACTGCCTTCATGCAGTGCTCATGGGGCTCAGAAGAGGGCAGTGGATCCCTCGGATTGGAGGTACAGATGGTTGTGAGCCGACATGTGAAAGCTGGTCACTGAACCAGGGTCCTCTGCAGGTGTTCTGAGCTGCTGAGCCGTCTCTCCAGCCTCACACCAGGGCTTTCTTCGGGCATGGGCAGTGCCTGCCTGAGGTGAGTGAAACTAGGTAGCTTGTCATTACGGCGCTGTTTCTATGCTCTGCTCTGCTGTTTCAGCCAAGTGCACATCGGGGGAATTAGAGACACAGAAGAAGAGAGAATTAAAGAAGCTGCGGCTTACATAGCTCAGAGGACTCTCCTTGCGAGTGAGGAAGCAATCGCAGCCTCCAAGCTGTCCACCGCCTCCACTCAGTCCGCAGCCTCCGTGATGTCCACAGCCTCCACTCAGTCCGCAGCCTCCAAGCTGTCTACAGCCTCCAAGCACTCCACGGTATCCAAACAGGCCACATCCACCCTTCAACGAGAGGAAACGTTTGAAAAGAAGTCGAGGAACGTTGCAATTCGAGAAAAAGCAGAAGCTCTGTCCCTGAGGAAAACAGTAAGGAGAGCTAATGTCAGGCTACTTATAAGAGTGGAAATGTGTTTTGTGAGCTGTGTGTGAGCACGTGTGTGTAGGTAGACCTGTTTGCTTCAAGGGCAGAACTATGAGGTGTTGGAAAACAAAGGGAAAAGACATCAGAATGTAGGTCAAATAAAAGCAAGCTTTGGAATGTCAAACTTCGTAGAAATTCAGATGTGAAAGATTTAAGTAAGTTTCTAAAGCCGCTTTAGAAACCCACCATTGGGTTGTTGCTCAATCTTAGGGTTTAAAACAACCAAACTCACTTTTAAAACCAGGAAAGAAATGGTTTTACCTAACTGTAAAAATAAGGATCACCATGTAAAATTAGTTCCGAGAATGCAGTGAGTCGATACTGCTTGCATAATGCATAAAGCCATGGGTTCAGTCCCCACTGACCCATGAAGTGGGACACAGGGATGGCTGTCTCTAATCCTTGCACTCAAGATGCAGAGGCAGGTAGATCAGAAGTTTAAAGTCATCCTTGGCCATGAAGTGAGTTGGAGGCCAGCCCAGACTACATCAGTACCTGTCTCAGAAATAAAACAAAACAAAGGAAAGTAAAGGTTTGGCTTCCGCTTGTTATTTTAGAACTAGAAGTAACTTTGACTTGGTCATATTTTGAAAATGTTTGGTTGTTTACTTGCTTACTTTTCCAGTTAGAAGAGACCCAAGCATATCATGGAAAGCTAAATGAAGACCATCTCCTCCATGCTCCCGAGTTCATCATTAAACCTCGTTCTCACACAGTCTGGGAGAAAGAGAACGTGAAACTACACTGCTCCGTAGCAGGCTGGCCAGAACCTCGCCTCACATGGTAGGTTTTCCTTGAGGAAGCTAACAGAATTGATTACCAAGCTGAGTTTACATGCAGAGAAAATGCCTGAACTAGCAATATGCAAGAATCAGCAAAGGTACCTGTAGGTTTGTATGGTTTCAAAGGAATAACGGCTTTGAGAGTTTTAGGAACAGGAAGGACAGGTGGTCTTGCATACAGGTTATGCATCTTAATATTTTATAATCATAAGGGCGGGAGAGGTGGCTCGGTAAGGTTGGTGAAGAGCCTGCGTGCTGCCATGACGACCTGGTTTGGGTTCCTGCCCCCATGTACGATGCTGCATGCTCCTGTAAATCCGGAGCTGAAAAGCGGGAGACAGGAAGAGCCCTGATCCTAGGCTGGACAAATAGAAGGTGACTAATAGAAGGAGACACTTGATTTTGATCTGGCCTTCACACACACACACATGCATGCACACACACACATGCACACACACATTTGTACACATGAACACATGATTATGTATTTATAAAAAAAAATAACTGAAATTCATAGGGCTTCTGCTTCTATCCCTCCTGTCTCAAAAATCAAAAACAAAAACAACAATGGCAAAATGCCAAAAATGACTATGAAATTATTTTATAACAAACAAATATGGCAAATATTTTATAACAAACAAAAATGAGAAATGCCACAAAATATTTCTAATATTTCAACAAAAATAAATTTTAACTTATAATTCGTGAAATATGAAAACAAATTTAAAATTAATTGCTATTGCCTCCACCCTTCCCTATGACTATAGAGTTGCACCATCCAACTCTTTTCTTTTCTTTTGTTCTTGTTTTTAGAGACAGGGTTTCTTTGTGTAGCCCTGGATGTCCTGGACTCGCTTTACAGACCAGGCTGACCTCAAACTCACAGAGATCTGCCTGCCTCTGCCTCCCCGAGTGCTGGGATTACAGGCCTGTGCCCCCATGATGGCGGCACCATCCAACCTTTGAAAGAATGTTTCCTCTTTAAAAATCAGTCAAACATCAACAACAAAAACTGAGCCAGCACAATGGCTCAGCGTGTAAAGCACTTGCCACCAAGCCTGATGACCTATATTCAAGCCCCAGGATCCACAGTGATGGAAGGAGAAAACCGAGCCTCACAACATGCCTGTACATTATTCATTCATATTTTCTCCCTCTCCCTTTCCCTCCCCCCCTCCCTCACACACACACTAAATGTAATTTAAAAATTATAGCTGGATGTAGTGTCCCATGCACACCTTTAATTCCAGTGCTTGGGAGGAAGAGGCAGGAGGAACTCAGTGAGTTTGCGCCAGCCTGGTCTACAGAGTGAGCTTCAGGTCTACAGAGGATCACAAGTTCAAGACCAGCCTGGGCTACATATTGAGCCTGTCCAAAAATCAAACCAAAACATACACCACCAGAACTACACATAAGCAACAAAGATAACTAATTACTGGTCTAGAGATGAGCTTCACTGGTAGAATACCTGCCTTGTGTGTAACTCCCTGAATTAGCTTCCCAACATACACACACACACACACACCTCACACACCACCCCCGACACCACATGCATGCACACACACACATCACTTACCAAATGAAAAAGGAAATCCAGACATTCCTGTGGAAATCCATGAAGAAAACAAATGCTTAGATCCTATAAATATTAAAAAAATCCTTCTCTGATAAATTGAAATATATATATATATATATTACGTTAAAACATCCTACTCTCATTTCTTCTGTGCGTGGAGGAGGCGACTTCCTTTCACTTGTTGAAGGTCTCCATTCACTGAGACTCATTCTTCACAACAATTCTCCCAGGAGGGAAAAGCCAGAAATTTTCAGAGGAAGTTTTCATGCTCAGTGAGAAATACAAGTCAAAACCCAAGAGCCAGAGAGCAACTGAGGAAACCATTCTGTTTCTGAGCGGGCTGGCAAGATGTCTGGGTGGGGCAGGGGCCTTCCATGATTCTGAGAGCCGCTGTCACCCCTGGGCAGATTAAAACGTTGATCGGTGCTCACACACTCCCAGCAGGCTATGGTGATAACGGGGTCAAGTCCAGGTGTGTGGAGCAAGAAGTGGCTACAGTTTGGGGGTTGAGTTACAAAAACAGACATGAGGCTTGTAGTCTGAAAAGGTCTTGAGATTCTCCCAAAAAGACTCGTTCCCAGGTAAACCCAGCTCAGGGAACAGGTTCTTTACAGGGTCTGTGTCTCTTCTTGCACATGGGGCCTTTTCTAAGAAGAATCAGCTGGGATTCTAATGTATGTCACAGCGTGGGTGTAAGGTGTGTCCTTTTCTCGGGCACCCTCTTCCTCACAGAGCAGGAAACTCATTCCCAGGTGAGACCCCAAGTTGTTGGTGATCATGTTGTTGGCTTTCAGGCTTCTTTGGTGCCCGGCTGCGGATTCCTGGCCCTGACACTGAGTATGGATGTGAGAGAAATATGGGGCCCTGGATTGGGGGAGGGGAGCTAAGGGGATGCGCTTGTAAGGGTGCCTGGCACTTTCATGCTGCCTCACGGATAGCAGCTAAGTCCCGGGCCTTGCCTTTCAGAGGCGGCTGGCTCCAAGTTTCCACTGGCCGCTCTTAGATCATGGGAGCCTGAGGTCTGACAAATGCGAGCAGGCTGCAGCTGTTCTCCTGGCCAATCTCACATTACTGGCCACGTCTATTTAAGTGGAACTTAGAGGTTATGCAGAGAACACGGCACGGCAGAAACACAGCACTCAGCAAGGCCAGGTACAGAACGTGTCGGCATTCCCAGATCACCCTGAAAGTAGAAAGAATCCTGCCTGTGTTTTTTTGTTCAGTGTAAGAACTGCTTTCAGATGATGCCGATATAGCAAGGTCGGGAAGCAAGCCATCGTGGAGAAGGGCCTTGTCAACACGAGGGAGATAGTTCTATGGTGGAAAAACCTGAGATTTTAATGTTTAATAGGCCATTTTCATACAATAGCCTGTTTAACATCTACTGGTTTAAAGGGAGGAAGCAGAATGGGATGTTGTTTTATTTGCACACATTCTGGAAGGTTATACTAGGACCTAAGAAGAGCAATGCCCCAGTGGAGTCGGATGAAGGGACCCTGTGTGCTGAGCAGCCTGATGTCC